ACAACCCCCGCTAAACTAGTTAATTCTCTGAACTAAACTTAACCTCAAAAAACAATCCATTCCACCCCAAAATTCCCAAGTTAATTTTGTCATTCCATGTCTGAAATTAAAATTTCAAATATTTTTAAACCGAAAAAAGCCCCCCCCCCCTCTTGCTAAACCATGCAGCCATGCTACTGACTAGACAACCCGGGGGGGGGGGTACTGCCATATATGGGCTATATAAGTATGTGCCGCTGTGAAGGGTATGGTTTTCAAGCACTTTACTCTAGGATAGGGTATATAAATCACAGAGTTTGGGTCTAGAATAGGGTATCATTTTTCAGGAAACTGATCAGTTGGTTGAAGATTTTATCTAGACTAGGGAAACAGCTACTCTAGGATAGGGGGAATTTGGGGAGTTTACTCTAGTATAGGGTAGCAAAATTCAGCTGAACTAGCTCTGGTATAGGTTAAGGGTTCTAGGGTCCCAGCGGCACATCCCCACCCAGAAATTCCCAAATTACCCCCCCCCCCCGGACTAGACAAGTCCAGTATATCAATTACAGACCTTTTACCAAAGTCATTTGTGTTATCAGTCCCTAATTCTTTAGAGCATTATGGTACTAGTACTATGGTAATATGACTATGTTATTATCTCTTTTTATGTCAACTTTATTTCAGTGATGGCAGTTGCAAGTTTTCACATGCTGTTACCAATAAGCCACAGGAGATACAACCAGGACAAGAATTTGACACCAGTACACTGGGACATGGTGTTTTGTGCTGTTTTTCAAACTCTGGAAAATTGTTTGCTCTTTGTACTCCCCAAAAAGAGTTGTTAATATGGCACACAAATGACTGGAAATTATTGAGTAAAAGGTAATTTAAGCCATTGCCAGCTGCTGATTGCAGATGTTTTACCAACATTGACAGCAAAGAAAGGAAAGATGAATTTAAAAAGATAGCAGAAGAAATATTTAGCTTGCTGGGAAAATTTTTTTGTTGCTTTAGGAAGGTAGCTGAATATTATATAATTGGCAAATTCTCAATTTTGCAAGTGTTAGCTCAACTATATTTTCCATTTTACCCCGTGCTCTTCTGTGTCTTATTAACATCTCCCACATGACTTATTAACAAATCGACAACAATTTTCCATGGTCTGTCTCTTATTGAGCATAGAAATGACGT